GGGGGGGAGGAAAAAAGGGGGAGGGGAGGATGAGGGGAAAAAAAACCCAAAAAACTTTTGACAAGATTCACCCTGAATTGTTAGCACCATTAGCAGCCATTATTAACTTTCTTCAGTATGCCTTTGACCTCCCGATTATAGAGTGGCTTTCTCCAAAGCACGCCAAATAAATCTGAATAAAGCTGCTGGGAAGGGCTGGAAAAATGCAGTTGTAGGGGGGGCGGAAAAAAAAAATAATAAAAAAATAAGCCCCCTGAATTCTAAACAAACAAACAGATCCCCAGCACGCATACACACGAAAAGTTCTTCCTTCAGGCAGATCTCTCCAAGGAAGCAGGTTATCTTGGGCAGCAGAAATCCTCCTTAGCACATCTCCCCACAGACAGCCATCTTAAACTCCTACCTCTCCTTATTTCAGTCCCGATACTTGCTTTTTGTGCTTCTCCCTCTGTGTGTGTGTGTGTGTGTGCGTGCATGTGTGTGTGCTAATTCTGCACCTTCGCAAACACTGAACCTATTCGCAGAGCCTGCTCATTGGGAAGGGAAAAAAAAAAAAAAAAAAAAAAAAAAAAAGGCAGCTTTGTGTGCAGTGGATCCAGGAGGGGGGAGAAAGGGAGTGGGGGAGAAAAAGGGAGAGAGGGAGGGAGGAAGGAAGGGAGGGAGGGAGGGAGAGAGAGCGAGAGATAACCCGTGAAAAATCCCAACTGCGTGATCCACTAACGGAGAAAAAAGTTTTACTCTAGCTATTTCATTGTCTCTGCTACAATATCTTTGAGAACCGCAACAGCCAGTAATCCAATAAGACCATTGATTAGGCTACAATGATTCAATTCAAGCAAATGGCCTTGTGCAAAGAGCATGCTCCAGTCCTTCTTGTCACCTTGCAGGGCAGAAGCCCTCTTCATGCTGCTCTCCTTATTCATTCCTTTATGGGAAATGTAGAGCAAAAGGAGTGAAAGATGGCAATTATCTAATTGGACTATTAACAAACAATTCTCTGAGTGTGGCTGTCTGGCAGTGGCTCTTGGGTTAGGTGAAAGGCCACATGTTGCACTGGCCCCATTCACAAAGAGTTTAGGGGCCTGAGAGAGAGAGAAAGAATTTTCCCTGAGAATTTTTCACACAACCACCGGAGTCTCCATCAGGCAGGCTCCTCCTGCCCGGGGAGGCTGCCTGGGAATTTCACCCACCTGCAGCAGGCTGGGCCAGCCATGTGTTATCCTGCCCCTGCCATCAGCGGGGAAAAGCAGAACGCGGCGCCCTTGCCAGGGCTGCTCAGCCCCACGGGTCTCATCCTGCGCCCGCGGCAGGAAAAGCAGCCCCACGGGATCCAGCCTTTGTCCAAGGCAGTGTAAGGGGGTGAAGGATCCAGTGCTGAGGCCTAATCACGGGGAATGGAAAATTCAGGGGAGACAAGGAAAGAAGTGAGGGGAAAGAAGAGAAAGGAAGGGGAAAAAAAGGAAGGGAAAACGAGAGAGAGAAGAAAGAGAAAGGGAAATAAAGTAAAGGGAAATAAAGGGGGAAAAAGAAAGGAAAAGAGAAGGAAAGGGAAGAAGAGAAGAGGAGAAGAGAAGAGAAGAGAAGAGAAGAGAAGAGAAGAGAAGAGAAGAGAAGAGAAGAGAAGAGAAGAGAAGAGAAAGAACAGGAGAAAGGAAAGGAAATTAAAAAGGGAAGATGGTGGTTCATAGATACATTTCAATGAGTTGTCTTCAGTGGAAATCTTAAATCTTGGTAATTTTTCCACAACTCACAGATTAGTTTTTTTATTACCATTTTCTGAAGAGTCAGACTGAGATGGAGGAGGTACCTCTAAGATTTTTCTCCAAGCCCTATCATTTCAACTGTATTTATACATACAACTGGACATAGAACATCCTTCTTATGGACCAGGTTTTACTTTTCCTTGCAGCCAATGCATCTCAGAAAATCTCCAGTGTGCTGTTATTGTTACTACTTGTATGGCAGTCATACCCAGGAGCCCCAGATGAATCCCAGCCCCATTGTGCAAGGCTTCATGTAGATATACAGAGAGGATGGAATTAGTTATTTTCCTCCATGAATTTGCAGTGCTGTGCCAAGGCCTGTTGTGTGAAGGGATGCTCATGAAACAGGACACTGAAGAGAGATTTTGGTCCTTTCAGGGGAGGTGCAACAAGTGGATGCTGATGAGTGAGAACATTATTCATATATCTGAAGTATAGGGTTTAACAGGTAAGCGTTGTGGTGTGATGTACATAAGCTTAAACATGTGTATGAATGCACAAATAAGGTTGTATCAACAGTCCTGGTTGGACATGTTTGTTTAATGTTAAATAAAACAAAGCTTTAATTCAATCATTTTTAACATAATAGATATTTTTTAGACAGAATAGGCATAATGATTCCCATAAAAGGTCTACTGTGAAATATAGAGAGCAATTAGAATTATATTTGCATATTGTGTGGGAGTATGTATGACATTTCTCCCCATGTTTTTCATTATGCTAATGTTTAGGCCTAGGCCATAATAATAAACATGGAGCTATTGAACTCAGTTGCACTGTTTGCAGCAAAATATCTGGAGATTACACATTTTATTGCTGTGATAATGTCTGTTTGTTTGTTTGTTTGGCAACAAGGACCTGGCCCAAATATCAATAAAGGCCAGGGGAATTTTGTTCTAGATGTGGAATATCAAAACATATGCATTGCAAACCCCTTTTTGTCCACAGAAGTCAGTTCTATAAAAAGGCTTTCCCCTGTTAAATCAGTTACATTTGCTTTCACACATAATGAACATAGTACTGTAAAACATCTGGAAGTTCAAATAATGAATCTAGTCCTGCAGCAAACTTGTAGTGAGCAGTCAGATCTATCCACACCCAGCCCAGTTTAACTGAGGTCCCCTCATCTGCAACAAGTCCAGAACAGCACTGAGAAATTCAGATTTTTACCATTTATAAAGTCAAAATTTTCATTAGTCTGGCAGTCATTAAACTTCCTTTCACATCATCTCATTTATCTTTTTTTCCCCAGTAGACTTAAAATAAGGAATTCTTGAATACTGTGTTCTTTTGGGAAGTAATATGTCCCCTTCTAACTTTCACAACAGTAACTTCAGCATGCTTACATCTGCACTCATCTGCCTCTGGATAAGCAGATTAGGGGTTACCTCTCTTCCCTTCAATTACTACTTAAAACTGACTTAGCACACCACACAGTTACTCCCTGTCTGTACTTTGCTGTGCAGACTATCTTGTGGCTTTTCAAATACAATCTTACTAGTTTGTATTAACATGTGGGAGACTGAAAAAAAATTGCTTCTCCCTGACTGCCATTATTCATATTGTTTTTATTTCTATTTGATGGGTAGGAAAGATACCCATTATTGCTACTACTTCCTAAACTATTCTTTGTCAAATAAATATTACTGTCCTAAATTCTCTTTAAGGTTTACATGCCAAGCTGGTTCTCCAATCTGAGCATGGTGCTAAATTGCTTTTGAACTTCAGTGCACATGTTTGAAATTCAAAGATTGATCAAAGGGATCCTGTGATTATTTAACTTAATTTACTACATATATATGAATACAAGATTTTGTCCACTTGGAGGGTTGGCTGATACCTTCATTGGCTCTCTCTGCATTGCAGCATCATCCTAATACACTTTGTCTTTGCTAGTTGGTGTCAAGTCACAGCTGAAGAGAACAGAGCCAGCCCAGCGCTCACAGACAGGTGGGTTAATCTAAATATTCAACCAGCTGCCCTGCTGTCTGCCATCAGCACTCATTACTGCCCAGCTGGGGCAAATCTAAGAAGAGGACTAAAGGCTTCCCCAGCACCCTCCCAGCCCTGAGCTAAACAGGCATGGCTCAGAGATCTTCTGAATCCAAACACTTATCTCTGTGTTTAAGAGCCCTGAGTAGACCTTTCTTCTATTAATATGCCTGATCATTTTATTCAGATTCTTTGCTTTTGATTTTACAGAAGTAATTGGCAAGCAGCTGCTGGGCACATTTCTGGATCCTTGTTTAGCACAGGGAGTATGAACTGATACATTGGGGCTGAGCATTTTCGTGGTTATTTCCAAATAAGAGAGAATATGGTAGTGACTAATAATGATACATTATATATGGCAATGTCACGAGTTGCTGCAAAGAGGTCCCACCACACATCCAGCACCCTTGGTCACTGTTAAATACAAATGAAGGAGAAACAGAAAACCTCATTAGGTGCTATGTGCATCTTGGATGCACTCTCTTGGATACATTTCTCCTGGACAGGACATTTCTGTCCATTGTGGGGGACACTCAGAGTGAAGATGATCTTCACAAAGAGAGAAGGTTCATCAGAAGGTTCTTCTTTCATACAGATCTCAGAGATGCACTGATCATCAGGAACAGAGCATTTTCTTGATAAAAAGTGCA